AACACTGGAGGTTTTAAAGAAGAGATTGGACAACCCTTTGTCTGAAATGGTATAAGGTTTCCTAATTGAGCAGGTGGTTGAATTAGAAGAACTTTGCAGCTCTGATATTCTGATATTATAGAAGTAAAACCAAGACAAACTTCATAGCATGGAAGAGAAAGTTAAATGTAAAAAGTGCAGAAAGAAAGGAAAAGCGAAAAGGAAATCTCCCCCTTTCATCTTGGGTAAGTATAATCAGCATTAACCAATTATAACTATCTCTTCAAATAAAACCAAACACTTCTTCATCCCGTATCTCACTACATTCTTTTAAAGCCCATTTCTTCATGTCAATCAGCAATAGTCCATTAAGGATGATCAAAAATAACATAAATATACCCATTACACTGTTTCAATCCTTCCTTTTGTATTTATATTTACACCTCCATTTCTATTTATATCCCCCATTTCTTCTCTTCAAATGAACATTTTTTAAGACATCACCATCTAGACCCAATTAAAAAACCATTAAACATAATCAGAGATAGCAACTGATTATTTTAACTTTGCTCAAGTGAACAGATTTGTATTCTTTCTCCTTTCTCCCAACAGTGTTTAAGTTCCTCAAAGAAAGTTCACATGATCAAAATTTGGATTCTTAGCAATGGGTTCATATTTATGACGGTTGCAGGGTCCGGGGGTCACGTGATCCAGCTTTTGCTATTGCTACTATTACTATTTTGCGGCCTTCCGACAAGCAAAGTCAATGGGGAAGCCAGATTCACTTAACAACCATGTTACCAGCTTAACAATTGAAATGATTGACTTAACCACCGTGGCAGGAAAAGTCACGTGGCAGGAAAATGGGGGCAAAACTCACTGAACAAATGTTTCACCTAGCAACATAAATTTTGGGCTCAATTGTGGTCATAAAGCGAGGTCTACCAGTATCGTAAATGCCCTTGCAGCATGCACACACTGCTTGAACGCCCTCCTGCGTTCAAGCAGTGTGTGCTTGAACACAGGAGGGGCTCTCAAGCCAGGTTTTTCAGCTCCTTCCGTTCTTGTCATCTCACTTCCACTCCTGCCTAAGCATGGCAGAATAGAGAATGGGCGAGTTTGAGAGTGAGCAAGAAGAGCAGAAAAAAGTAGTGGAGGAGGGAGGGAGACTAGCCAAAGGCGAAGAGAAAAAACGGGGGGGGAGGAAGAGGGAGGGAGTATGCTTAGTCACTCTTTTCCTTAACACCCCCCCCCCCCACGGTATGGCTGTATCTTTCTAGCTGTTCAAGCTGAAGGGATACACACTGTTCCTCAGGGAGAATGGAGAAGGTAGCACCATGCAGCAGCGGCCACCAGCCCCCAACTGTTTCTTGGCTAGAAGTCAAGATTCTTTTGCAAAGTTATTCAAGCAAATTCCAATTTCTCCTAAGCAGACTTGCCTATGAAAGTTTAGAGTGCTTGGATTTTGGCAAGGAGGATTTTCAGCACCAGAGACAGTGGCAGGTACCTCAGGAGAGTGGATGAGGCCCTGGGAGGCTTCCTACAGAGGGTGTGTGGGTGTCTCCCCCCCACCCCCTGAGGCACTTTGTACTCCATAGCTTAATGACCCATGAGATCCCTCAACAATTGCAACTGGGAGTGCCAGGGTTGCAATCATTGAGAGAAGCAGTTACGTGTCATCTTGCTTAATGCCTGTTTCACTCAGTGACCAAGATTCCAGTCCCAGTTGTGATTGTATGCCAAGGACTACCTATATCTCCATGCTGGTAGGGTGCTGAAATTAGTTTTTCAAAGTGTGCCATGTAATCTTACGATATATACAGTAATAGCTTACACAATTTTCAGAGAAGTTTGAGAAATTAATGGAAGAAAGGCTTATCAGTTTAGACTAAATGCCATTGTTAGAATTACCCTGGTTATCCTTACAAATTGATGAATAATAAAATAATTCCCAATTTAACTACAGTATATGACTTTATATCAGGTTTACTCTTGGCGCTGCCTTCTCTGCCTTGTATTTTTCGGCCTGTTTTCTTTTTTATTTGTAGAAAGAATTTTTTAAAAGTTATTTTATATCAGATCTTTGTGGAAGAGAGAAAACAAAGTTAAATATGTGCAGGTAGGAACTTGTGAACTGGATAGTTTGATTGGTTTAGCGTCTTTCCCCATTGCAAACAAAATATGACTAATAGAGCAAAATAGGGTCTGATTATTATTGGCTAGATTAGATCAGATGAAAATAAAGTGCCTATGCTTGATAAATGGTATTTAAGTGTGAAAAACATTTGAAAAAATGGCCAAATAGATTCTATCTTCACTTTGAAAAGGTTCCTTTAATTCAGTGCATCTGATGAGGCTTTACTTCTATTTAGAGAGTTAACTGTACACTAATGTGCTTACATTCAGAATATTTTATTTCCTGCAGTAAGGAAACATAAGAATTGTGACCAAAGATATTGCTGTGTTAGCAGAATGAGTTCTTATTGCAGGAAATATAGCACTGAATGCAGCTGAACAGAGCAAAACGTCCATTCTTTGTTGGAAGAGAAGCCGTTGTTCATTTATTTTTTATTATCAGAACTCACCACCACCACCACCACCACCAGTAGATAAATATGAGGAAATTCCTATTGTCACAGTTAATTGACAAAACAATTAGGCCCTCTGCTTCAATTCCCCTTAATTATTATTTTAAAGAAATGCAAGAAAAATAGAAAAACAACTTTCTGTGTCATATATTATCCTGCTGATTATAATATATCAGAGGTAAGCAAACGTTTTTGGCTGTGGATACATCTGGAGTTTTGAAAGCATGTAAAGAATATAGTCACAAAATAACTGCCATGGGAGATTTCCCAAATCGCAAGATGGCTGCCATAAAAGGCCTCTAGTATTCTACAAAATGCCTGGTAACCAGAAGCTGAAGTAGTTCTTTATGAGGACTAAATACATTCCTGCAAATAAATATGTTGGTGAAAAATGGTGCTTTGATCCATTTATCCCAGTTTTCTGTGTAATTTTGTTTAATTCTGATAATCCTTAAAATGGTGTTAGGAAACCTAGTGAATACCAAGTAAGTTTTTTGAAGACATAAACTTCTTGCAATCTATCTATACATAAATGGCTATGTGTGTGTGTTTATGTGTGTACGCACATATGTTCCAGCATAACTCTGGAACGCCTTGAGCAATTTCAACCAAACTTTGTACACAGATGACTTACTCTCTGGAAAAAAATACTGTGGGGGTAAGACATTCCTCAGGGTGTGTGTTCTGTTAAGATAGAGCCTGTTGTGCCTTAGAATGGCTTCTACTGTACTGCCATAAAATGGCTTCTACCATACAGTGGAGTTGCCATGGTAACAGCTTCACAGTACTCGACAAGGAGGGCTCCCTCTGGTAAGGGGGAAAATCCAACATTAGAAATTACATTTGGTTCGAACATTTTCCCCCTATAAATAATACCTGGGCCATGCCAGGTTATCAGCTAGTGTAGAATAAAATATGACTTATTTGTCAATTTATTTAATAAGAGCTGGTTCTTAATGTCTGCTAAATCCAAGCATGTTAAAAGTCGTTCCTGTCTATGTGGATCTTTCTGATGGCTTGTTCAGATAATTTTGAAAATTTTATTTGAGGAAATATTAAAATAACATTAACCGTGACATTAAATCTGAATTCCAGAGAGACTGCTTCATCCACAGTAGTCAGCTCATGGATCAGGAGAGTAGAGGTCTCCTGCCCACCCTTTTAATTCCCTCAGCCTTGCCATAAATTCCCCCCCCCCCACACTCTATTATCCTCCTGCTCACAGTCCAAATTAGGTGTGCTGATCATTGCGTAGAGGGAGCAATCAGTCTTTATTTGGTGGAGAATTGATTGGTTCTTCTGGCAGACCTTGGTGCTTGCAGTAACTGTCTCCATATCCATAATTTGCAGGTTTCCGTTTCATTCATTCTCTGTCCTGCTTTCTTAGCCATCCGTTACCATTGGAAAAATCAGTGCTTTAACTATCCTGATCTTTGTTGTCATAGAAATAGCCTTATCTTTTGTGATCTTGCATAAGGTTGTTGTTGTTTCCTCCCTCAGATTAATCCCTGCTTTGCTTAACAGCCCTCGTCACCTGTTTTGAGTCCAAGAAAATAAAACTACCCACACCTTCGCTTTTTTATACACCCGAAAGTTCATTAAATATGCTAATTGTATTCTGTCTTCTTAATGTTTAATCTTAACTTGGATTTTTTACTTTCCATTTTTGTTTTTATGAAATCATCTCAGTTTTTCTTACATTTTCCCAATAAACAGGTATCATTTATTTATCTCAGCTTGTTAGGCTTTTCAGACTCCTCTTTGATTACAGCGATTATCTTTTCCAATCCTAACAATCTTGAGTTTAAAAGATATGGGTACCAGATGGATCTTTCTCTTACAGATAGTATTTGTTTAATGACCAATCTCTTAACAACTGTTCAAAATTACGAAGGACCTACCAAAAGCTTATGATGGGGTTCCAGAGATCCAATGACTGCACAGACCCCTGTAGTCACATGACTGCATTTCAAGTGTTTGGCAACCATCTCACCTTTGTGGCTTTTTGCAGTTCCATAGTCATATGACCAGGATTGTGGTGGTGTCCACCAAAAATGTCCATAAGAATAATTTAACAATTACCACATTCACATTCGACCTGGGTACTTGAGAGACCGCCTGCTGCCAATTACCTGCAACAGACCTATTGGATCCCACAGAGTAGGCCTCCTCCGAATCCCATCTACTGGCCAATGCTGATTGGCTACCACCTGGAGGAGGGCCTTCTCTGTGGCTGCTCC